TAGGACCCCTTTAAGACTAATATTATCAGTAATGTAAAATGCTGCAGTAATTTAATGTTAATTAGTTACATTAACGGCATGTTACAGCAATGTTCTATTTATTTCCCGTCGTGCTGTAAAAATGTCCAAATGCTATTTTATGGGTGTTACCATTTTAAGGAGTTACATTTTTACTGATTCTAATTAGTTAATAATTAAAACTAATTTTGATTAATAAGTAAATTATTTTAATTCGAAGGACATACCAGTTCAGTACAGTATGTGTAAAGTAATACCTGTATGGAGGCCAAAATCACCACTGGGCATTTTGCCTAATTTGGACATTTTTCAAGTTAAATGGCTTTCAAATGCCAATTCATGTTGACTTGAATGATGACTTGGTTTTGGTGTGTATCTCTGAAAATGCAGGATGGAGGCCATGATTAGGTTAGATATTTTATCAGTTCCTGCGTGTGCATCTTATTCATTTTTGCTGTGTTTTTGAGTGGTATCTGCTCTGTGACCTCTGACTTTACGCTTTTCCATGGCAGATGATCATCCTGTGTGAAGCTCAGGAGTTTAAAGTGGCAGTAAACGGGCTCCACCAGCTGAGTTACAAGCATCGTGTGCAGGATCTAAGTTGTGTGGATGTGATAGCGATTGTGGGAGATCTAGAGCTTAAGGATGTCAAGATTTGGTGAGCAGCTCCAGCCTGAAGACCATTCCTGTGTTTTCTCCAACCAAGTATATTTAATCAACCCAAGACTCCTGCGACTGAAGCAAATCTAAACTATTTTAACTAACTTATTCAAGTTAGAATTTGAATATAATTTGAATCTGGCTGAACATTATACTCCTCAACCACGTTGTCGAACAATTAGCACATTTGAACTTTTATTCTTTGTTGTTTTGTTTGCTTGTTTAAGTGTTGAATTTCAGCTCTAACTATACAGGTGCATCTCAATAAATTAGAATGTCATGGAAAAGTTCAATTATTTCAGTAATTCAACTCAAATTGTGAAACTCGTGTATTAAATAAATTCAATGCACACAGACTGAAGTAGTTTAAGTCTTTGGTTCTTTTAATTGTGATGATTTTGGCTCACATTTAACAAAAACCCACCAATTCACTATCTCAACAAATTAGAATACTTCATAAGACTAATAAAAAAAACATTTTTAGTGAATTGTTGGCCTTCTGGAAAGTATGTTCATTTACTGTACATGTACTCAATACTTGGTAGGGGCTCCTTTTGCTTTAATTACTGCCTCAATTCGGCGTAATTTGAGTTGAATTACTGAAATAAATGAACTTTTCCACGACATTCTAATTTATTGAGATGCACCTGTAATTTTGATAAGGTGTGAGTTGAATGGCAAGTTCCACTGCATAGGCAGGAAGAAGTTAACAGCCCATGACTAAGATAAACCCCATTAATGGTTGTGCGACAGTAATTTTACTGTCCGTCAAGCCATTTGTTTTCAGAATAATTCCAAGCTAATTCCAGGCATTTGGAAAATTACCGATTGCAGCTTTAAATTTCACACTGTTAGGCCAGAAACAGGGCTGATAAACATACCCATCCATAAACCTGATCTTAAAACCTTTCTTAAAACATTTCAATTTCCTTTCTGCAGGAGGTGTAATTTTTACACCAGACAAGCAGATAATTTGCTAATGCAAGGCCTTCACTAATGAATTTGACTTGGCATGATGACCCTATACGAATATCAAACCAATAATCATGTTCACCATTAGGTTCCAGAACTAAAGATAAGCACTTTTTTATTTATAGTTTATAGCAGAACTATGCAACATTCCAACAGCCTACAATTGCTTTTTGCTACTACTAGTTTTAAGAATGATCTGGTAATTTGTGATATATTATAGTTAACAACAGAACTATGCAACATTCCAGCAGCCTCAATTGATTTTGGCTACTACTAGTTTTAAGAATTATCTGGTAATTTGTGATATTAATATATATAATTTGTGTTTTGTTCCTCTGATATCTGTTGATCAATGCATTAAAAATAAGCAATATATCTTTTACATTGTCTAGTAATTATGGTTGTGTTTTGTGAGTTATTACCATTCATACATTACATTGACGATGGGTTTAGGAATGGCCATTAAGCAATTTCTATCAGTTGCCTAAATTAGAATAACTAAAACATTTCGTTTATCATATATTTATGAATTTTAATGAGGCATATAAATAAACACAATATTCCACTTTTGTAGCTTAAAACCAGTAAACTGCTTTTTGGCACATAATCACATGACCATAATGTGTTGGCACCTGGTTTAAATTTGATGCAATATGTAACCAAATATATAGCCAAAGCATAATTATCATAGATAATACTACTAATATTGTCGACATAACCCCAGAGAGAGATAAAGGCAGTGACGTCGCATTAAAGTTGTCTGTCTCTATCACTGTATGACCAAACATGTCAGACTTGGGAACAGATGAGTTTGTGAATCACAGGCTGTACAAACAGACGAACACTGAAGTGATTCTGTGATCTCACCAGCTCAGGTAATACTCGAGGACCACAAATGAACAGACCACACAGGAACACTGTCCAAACGAAATGATCCTGTTTAGTGGCTGACTGACAGCTCAAAAAAAAAAAAGGCAAAGCCCACTTCTAGAGCACAACAGTCAGCTTCCAGAAGCAGAAATCCCATTTATTTTCTCCATAGATTAATTGAATTCTAACCCCAACAGCACAGAAACCTTTTAAGAGGCTTTTGAACTTGAAGAGGTGGTGTGTGCTGCTGTAAAAGCCATACGTCTATGATTTCAAGGTCTTTTATTAAGATATTTTTTATAGCCGAATTCCCCTACACCATAATCTTAACTAGAAAGAAACCAGTCGGAGGACTCATTGTTACTATGGAAACAAAAAATCACTGCAAAAGAGCTCAGCAATGATCGACCACTGCAATGCAGCACTGTGAACGACAGTCACAATATTTTGTAATATAGTTAAAATATATTGTTTTATATTGAACCTTATTTTCAATATAAAACGTTTCTTATCTGATTACGTTATTCACAATGCTTCATGGGATGAGCAGTTCATGCCTTCAGAAAACATTTGTAACTTTCCAGATTTCAAATATTTTTTCTTCCAATCTGAGTTTGTAATGATTCGTATCAGAGCTGGTTGGTTTAGTTTAAGGCTTTGATTTCTTTATCGGAGAACTTTATGAAATCTTTATGGAGAAATGAATGGGAAAAATACTTGAACGAAAAAGCAGTGTGGCCACTGTTGCGCTCTGTAGAGCTGCTTTTAGAGAGGCTGCTATTGAAAAATTATTTAAGCTTATTTCTGCAACAGAATACAAATAAATATTAGGTAATTGTGACTTTTTATCTCACAATTCTGACTACTTTTTTCCACAATTGCGGTTATTTCTCACGATTCTGACTTTTTTAGAATTGCGAGTTTATATCTCACGATTCTGACTTTTTTAGAATTGCGAGTTTATATCTCACGATTCTGACTTTTTTAGAATTGCGAGTTTATATCTCACGATTCTGACTTTTTTAGAATTGCAAGATTATATCTCACGATTCTGACTTTTTTCTTAGAATTGTGATTTATGAACTTGCAATTGAGAGTTTACATCTCACAATTCTGACTTTTTTGTAGAATTGTGAATTATGCTAGTTTGTAATTGTTAGTTTGTAACTCACAACTGACTTTTAGAATTGTGAGTTTATATCTCACGATTCTGACTTTTTTCTTAGAATTGTGATTTATGAACTTGCAATTGAGTTTACATCTCACGATTCTGACTTTTTTAAAACTGCAAGTTTATATCTCACGATTCTGACATTTTTAGAATTGCGAGTTTATATCTCATGATTCTGATTTTTTTAGAATTGCAAGATTATATCTCACGATTCTGACTGTTTTAGAATTGCGAGTTTATATCTCACGATTCTGACTTTTTTAGAATTGCGAGTTTATATCTCACGATTCTGACTTTTTTCTTAGAATTGTGATTTATGAACTTGCAATTGAGTTTACATCTCACAATTCTGACCTTTTTTGTAGAATTGCAAATTATGCTAGCTTTTAATTGTTAGTTTGTATCTCACAATTGATTTTTTTTTTAATTGCGAGTTTATAATCCTACGATTCTGACTTTTTTAGAATTGCAAGTTTATATCTCACGATTCTGACTTTTTTAGAATTGCGAATTTATATCTCACGATTCTGACTTTTTTCTTAGAATTGTGATTTATGAACTTGCAATTGAGAGTTTACATCTCACAATTCTGACTTTTTTAAAACTGCAAGTTAATATCTCACAATTCTGACCTTTTTTTGTAGAATTGCGAATTATGCTAACTTGTAATTGTTAGTTTGTATCTCACAATTGACTTTTTTTCTTAGAATTGCTTGTTTACATCTGACAATTCTGACTTTTTAAAATTGCAAGCTTATATCACAATTCTGACTTTTTTTCTCAGAATTGCACATTTTTTCTCAAAATTCGGACATTTTTGAGAGATTGAAAGATTATATCACACAATTCTGTCTTTTTTCTTAGAATTGAGTTATAAACTTGCAATTGTGAGTTTACAATCTCACAATTATGATTTTTTTTTTTTTAGAATTGCGAGTTTGTCTCACAATTCTGACCTTTTTCTCAGAATTCGGACTTTACTTAGAATTGCATGTTTACATCACACAATTATGACTTTTTTTCTAGTAATGTGAATTATAAACTTGCAGTTGCGAGTTTGTATCTCACAATTCAGATTTTTTTCCTCAGAATTCTGAGTTTACATCTTGCAATTCTGTTTTTTTTCCTCACATTTTAGACACCTGACCTGACCACATGCACATGCAGAATTCTGAGAAAAAAAAGAAAGAATTGCGAGATCTAATCTTGCGATTGCAAAATATAAACTCACAATTAAAAAAAAAAAAGTCCAAATTTTGAGATATAAAGTCGCAGTTGCAAGAAAAAAGTCAGAATTGTGAGAGAAAAGGTTGCAGTTACCATTTTTGTATTTTTATTCAGTGGTGGAAATAAGCTTCCATAAATAAATAGCTTGGTTGAGTAATAATAGAGCTGGAAGACTAGCTTTGGTCCTCACTTGGTACTCAGGCAAGTGTTCAGGGCGGCTGCCTCCATTACATATTAGAAACGTCCAGTAGAGGCTGTTATGTGTGTGTAAAGTACCGTATGGCTTGTGGTCCAGTTCAGCAGGACGGCATTAAAACAGCTCACACTGAACTCAGCTTCACCAAACCCCGCACAGAGTCTTCATGGAGCGAGTCCTGGCTGGCGGGGTCAAAGAGCTGCGCTGGGTGAACGTGGTGACCCAGGTGGGTGGCGCAGGGCAGGGCTGCGGGTGGGGAGGGCGTCTCCTCCGGACTGATGAAATGTTGATGGTGTAGGTGATGGTGACAGTGGATCTCAGAGTCTCGCAGGGCCATCAGCTCTCCTCCACAACTGAGGCCTGGGATAGAGGAGGGCAGCGAGGGCTGAGAGGGGCCCAGAGTGGAGCACGGGCCACCCAGAGAGGTCTTAGCCTGAAGGGGTGTGCCTCCGCCCAGAATGACTGTCTGACTGTGGAGCAGTGGGTTGGTGGCGGCCTGCAAAACGAATTTGGTGCTCTGAATGCACTGGTCTTGAGCACACTGGGAGGAAGGATGAAGGACAGAGAGAAAAGGGAAAGCCGAGAGGAAGTCAGACCCAACAAAGAATAAAATGTTCCCAGGGCTCCAAACTGCTAATGACTGTTGTGCTACGGATATAAATGAACTGTGCAGTATCATAGAGACTTTTCCCTGTTGGTCACCAGCATATGTTGTGTTTTAGATGCTGGCGTGGTTTTGTTCATGGTCATGTCAAGTGACGGATGGATTTGTGCAGAAATTTCATACTCTTTGAATGGACATCTATATACAAATGGCAACTAGATTTTGAAATTTTGTCACACATTTGTAGGGTTCTTTGTTGTTTTGGAGCCCTGGGTCAGATAAGACCAGCCTCTGGTGGTTAGAATGACAAAACGATTATTATTAGAAGATTAAAAAGTTTAGAGAGTGTGCTGACCAAAAGTGTAAAGAAAGACAGAGAAAGAAGTTAGAAGTTAATAATATCTGGGTGAATATCACCAAACCTGTAAAGAACATGTTGAGGACATATTTCACTTCAAAATCAAGAAAGAAATACAAAATAATAATTTTCTTAATGGAAAAAGCCTATTTTTGGACCATTAAGATGAAGGGAAAAAATATATCTTGTAATTTTTGAACAATTTAACACATCCATGCTGAGTAAATGTATGACTTTTATTACACTTTTATTATTATTATTTATTACACATCGTCTCCCAATCACATAAATGTTGCTGTGTCGATGTAGATTCAACAAATCATGAAAATATTTGCGTTGAAAATGTTAGAAATTAGAAAAAGTGTTCGAAAACAATTAGAAATGATTGTTTTTATTATTATTGTACAACCATTCAAAATTTGGGGGTCAGTAATTGTTTTTTTTAAACAATATTTTTATTCAGCAAGGATGCATTAAATTGATCAAAAGTGGCAATAAAAACTGTAAAGAAAAAATGTATATAATGCAAATAAATGCTGATCATTTGAACTTTCTATGCACCGAAGAATCCTGGGTTCACAGTTTACACAAAATAAATAAATAAACAAACACAAACCAACAAATATAAACATAAAATAATATAAACACTATATAAACAAAATACAAACAAAAAAAGAAAATAAATAAAAAGCAGCACAACTGTTTTCAACATTGATAATAATAAGAAATCTTAAGCAATGAGAATAATAAGAAATCGGCATAACCGAATAATTTCTGAAGGATAATGTGAGACTGGAATAGGTTTCTGGAGTAATGGCTGCTGAAAATTCAGTTTTAAATTAGATTTGAAAATTTATAAAAATAGAAAATTATTTTAAATTGCAATGATATTTCACAATATTACACGGCTCTGTGGAATACTTGATTCTGATTGGTCAATCGCGCCATCCAGCGGTATGTTATTCCCAGATAACAACCGCCAAATTGAATAACACACCGCTCATCCAGGTACTACTAGTTGTCTTGAACGGTACTACTTATATGCTTAACGAGTCACTCCGCTATCGTTGACTGTCTGGCGCCATCTTGTGACTGAAAACACTTAACCACCGCGTGTTACAATGGAAGACTTCAGAATTAATTTCAACATATATGTTAAAAACAAATCTTTTTAGCCGTGTAATAAGCGGGATAATGTACATCCAACCAGTTGTTATCTCAGAATAAACCCCTTCAGGCTGATCCTGATCACCCTGTCGGTGTTTATTCTGAGATAACAACCGGCTGGATGTACATTATCCCTTACATATTACAGTTTTAATGTATTTTGATCAAATAAATGCAGCCTTGGGTAGAATAAGAGACTTCTTTCAAAAACATAAAAAAAAAATTAAAAAAGGGTTAACTTTACAATAAGGTTAATTAGTTAACATTAGTTAAACTAAGAATGAACAATACTTCTACAGCATTTATTAATTAACGTTCATTTCAACATTTACTAATGCATTATTAAAATCAAAAGTTGTTACTATGCACTGTGAACTAACATGAACTAACAAGCATTGTCATTGTTTGTTCATTTCACTTAATACATTAACTAATGGAACCTTATCGCATAGTGTTACCAAAAAATCTTGCCAGTTGAAAAATGAATATGTATCTTTAGTGTGTCCCCCTTTATCAACAATAGCACTCGGTCTCTGGGAACTTTGTGCAAAACTTTGAATTCCAGATTTTCAGTCTGGTCTCAGACTTCTGGACTCCACTATATATTTCAAATCGCTGTTCACAGCTTTGCTGAAACCTCGAAGTGGTTTGAATATAAATGGTTTCATTGGCTCCAGCACAATACACACAGAGGTCAGACGTCGGCCGTCTTACCATGTGACTCTGGACTTGATTGGAGGGGCAGGCGCCGGTGCCGTTTGTCTGGGCCGCAGGCTGCGGGGTGTCTGGTTGGACAAAACCTCTTCTGTCAATCAAGCTGCAAAGACAAAGGAAGTGGATGATAGATTCTGACTGTGAGTCAGGGAACGTGGGTGAGGGAGGCGGAGAGAAGAGGATCTGTACTTGTGTGTGTGTGTGCGTGCGCGCGCACGGAGTCCTCCTCCAACTCAACATGCCCACACACAGAGCAGATGGCAGCCAGTGATGCTGTGCCCACTTCTGCTTTGTGTTCCTGGCTCCATGAGAAAGTCATTAATGGCGTGCGGAACTCTTGTGTGGGTGTGTGAGCAGGTTTTGACGTCAGCAAGCCTCCTCACGCACCATCTGAATCAGGATGGGAACATTCCTCGGTTGTCTTAAGATATTCGCACTTCCCGGAGTGGTTTTTGCCTCTTATATTGAAATGACTGAGTGAGAAACCTGCTGAGGTCACCAATCTTTTCACAAGATCAGCATGGATCCCTCGGCTGATAACATGCCTGGATAATGATTTTCTGAGAAAGCTGATTAATATCTTATTTGAAATGGACTTTTTCTGTGGACTGCAATTAAATTCTCTGATACAGAGATATGAATGATGTAAAGGACAAAGCTTTGTTATAGGAATTTTTGCTGTAGCTTTTGGAATACTTTTCTCTATGCATATTAATAACTTACTAGATTGGTCAACCAACAACAGCAGAGGTGATTTGCTTTAAGTAATCAAGTTTAACATATGTGACTCTGAACCACAAAATCAGTCATAAGGGTACATTTTTTGAAATTGAGATTTATACATCATCTGAAAGATGTTTATTTAATAAATAAGCAATATTTGGACAGGACAATATTTGGCCGAGATACAATTATTTGAAGATCTGGAATCTGAGGGTGCAAAAAAATCAAAATATTGAGAAAATCGCCTTTAAAGTTGTCCAAATGAAGTTCTTAAAAATGCATATTACTAATCAAAAAATAAGTTTTGATATATTTACGGTAGGAAATTTACATAATATCTTTATGGAACATGATCTTTACTTAATATCCTAATGATTTTTGGCATAAAAGAAAAATCAATAATTTTGACCCATACAATGTATTTTTGGCTATTGCTACAAATATCCCCCAGCGACTTAAGACTGGATTTGTGCTCCAGGGTCACATATTATATATTTCTGCTAGAGACATGAAAGGAATAGTTCACCAAAAAAAAGAAAAAAAAAAGAAAATTCTTTCATTATTTACTCACCCTCATGTCGATCCTAATCCCGTAAGATTAAAATTTTGTAATCTATCTACATAATAATAATAAATGAAAAATGCAACATTTAGGGATCCACCTATTTTAAATTTCTGTCTGATACCACATAAGCCACGGCCGATAGCTAATATTAAAATTATATACATTTTATTACAATTTAAATGAAAGTCTAAAACCTAAACTCAGTGTTTTTTAAATCAAATTAATTTATGCATCACAACATTTGCTAAGGGTGTAAACATTTATTAACTTCTTAATATATTTAATATAAAATGTGACCTATTGCCCATCCTAAACTAAATTACTTTTGCAGTGTTATTTATTTCCAAGATTGTAATTGGGCATCACAGAAATGTAAACATGCTACATAATTAGGTAACAGAAATATAACACTCTTTAAAAACGGTTGTCTTGTTTTTCTTAAAGGTATTAAGCAGTATATACTGTGCAGTATGCTGTAATGCAGTCTACTGTATTCCATTTGAACAGACATTGAACATAAAGACATTACAAAAGCAAAAGTAGCGGGAGTTGCTGCATTCACCTCGGTGGCAGAGGTCCACACAGTGCAGCGCAGAAGTTGGTGATGAAGTTTCCGTAGCTGTAGGGGTTGTAGTTGCCTTTGCCTCGTTTGGATGACCATGAACCTTTGATCTGAAACAGTGATGAGAACTACAGTAGCTGAGAGGGACAAGCTGCCAACATCAGAGCAGACAGCGAGACGCTCAGAGATGACGAACCAGGGTGAAGATGGAAAAGAGTTTTAGCTTGATTATGTTTTGCTTCCTGCTAGGTGTTACGGTGAGAAATATCTCCAAACACATTGATCTTCAAAACCCAGTCTTTTGAAGTGCTCCTGTAACGCTTGTCAGACTTTCCGAGTGTCTCTTGATCTTGGTTCACAAATGTAAAAATTTAAATAAACTTATGCAGGGTCCAAAATGAACCTGCGGTCGGGTGATTTGAGGAAATGTACTGGTCATAAATATTTATTAATGGCCGTGAACATATATTTTTGCTCCTTCGAAAATGGAATGACAAATCTGTTTACTTCTTGCATATTTATGACAAACAGCAAACAATATTTTACATACTGAACTGATATCCATCAGTCGCCGTCGTTCTAAAAACATCTTTCTAAAAAAAATGTTTCACATACATTCAAAAGTTTAGGGGTCGGTAAGATTTTAATTTTTTTTAAATACTTTTATTCAGCAAAAAATCACTATATTGATCAAAAGTGACTAAATTATATTTCAAACAAATGCTCTTCTTGTGAATTTATAATAATCCAAAATAAATTATCCTGAAAAAAAAGTATCACAGTTTCCAATAGAACGACGATTTTAAACCGTGATAACAATAAGAAATGTTTCTTGAGAATAAAATCAGCATATCAGAAAGATTTCTGTAGAATCATATAGTAATGGCTGCTCATAATATAACTTTGCCATCACAGGAATAATTTTTTTTTTTTACTTTTTATTTTTTTAATATACACAAAGGTAATTTTAATTGCAACAATATTACTGTTTTACTGTATTTTTAATCAAATAAATGCAGCCTTGGTAAGTAGAGATGTAACAATTAACCGCGAGCCGGTTGAAAATCGATTCAAATACGTGACGATTCAAATCGGTTGAGATGCTAAACAAATCGCGATTCAATTAGGGGCAGGAGTTTATATGAATGTATGTCTGAAGGGAACTTACTGTCTTTAGAAAAGTTTAGATGGTATTTTTTCTTTTCATCTTGCCTCTGTATAATGCATATTAAAGTTCATAAGTGCAGCAGAAACCAAGGAAACGCTTTAAGCGCCACCTGCTGGCAGAGAGTGAATCTGCGTCTCGTTCAGCTCGTCTGCCGTTTCGGTTTCATGCAGATATTTTTTATGTATAGTTTCACAAAACTGAAGTCAAACCATTCTGTTTTTGCTTCAAATGTCGAAATTATACAATCTAATTTAGATTAAAAACTGCTCATGTTGCATGTATGCAGCATCTTTGTTTGGATCATGATTAAAATGCAGTGGTTGCCTCT